TTAATTAACAATGCATAACTACAAAATAAGCTACTCTAATTTGACCTTTATTGCCACTGCTCTAACTAACAATGGATAACTACAGATGTAGATACTCTAATGTACTGCCCATAATAAAATCAAATTCAGTGTTTCAGTGCATAACTACAGATGTAGATAAACTAATTTTCTACTGTAATGTACATAATTAACAGTGCATATTAAAAAAATAAGCTACTCTAATGTGTTCTCAATTGGCAATGCTCTAATTAACAGCTGACATTACTACATATCAACTAATTAAAATCAAATTCAGTGTCTCAGTACAGCCCAAGATCCAGCTGCCGAATAATCAAATGGACTATTTCAGTACAACCCAAACTAGGGTTTCACACTGCTAATCAAAATAACCACACATAGATACTGCCCAAGATCCAGCTGTTGAATCCTAACCCTAACCCTAGAATCTGTACAAATGAGGTAAACTTACTAGCCGCCGCCAAATGACGAGCCCCACTGGTGGCTTTGCGTCGGATCCGCCTTCACGGCCCTGGCCCAAGATCTAGCCGCCGCGAACTCGAGCAAGTGCCGGGGGCTGGGGTTGGGGCTGCTCTCCGAAGGGGCGCCGGGGTTTGAGCTGCCGCACAGATCCGCCTCCGGTGGTCTGTCGTCTCCGCCACCGGCAGGCCCACCGCAGTCACCGCCGCCACTCGCCGTCGTCATGTCTGAGGAGAGAGGGGGTGCGGAGAGAGGGTGCGGGGGAGGGAAAGAGAGGGTGCGGGGGAGGATGCAGACAGAGGGATAGCGGGGGTGGACCGGTGAAATGGGTTCCGGCTCTAGACGGCCCGCGAACGGCTTCTGACGGCGTCTAACAAGACAAACAGATCAACAGTGACGCCACGTCGACAACAGCGGGACCCACCTTTCATAATCCCACTTAAAACGACCGAACAAAACGACTTGTGGTTTCTGCAAAAAATTAGCCTGGGAATTAGTGTTTTTGGCACAAAACTACGGACTTGTCATTTCTGCAACTCTAGCCTTCAATGTCGATGTTTTTTGCAATTCACTCGCGGAAAAGGGATCTACTGCAGAATACGGTAGAGAACAGTGCGATGGACATGGGCTCGAAGCGTACTATTGCGACGGAGGGCGCGCGCGGGGGTCCTAGTCCGTGGACCAGAACGTTGCCTGATTTCCCGATCCAACAGAAAAGGGGACAACACGTTATTGCGCAAAAGCTGAGCCGTTTGTCTTACCTGGTCGTAGGCCCACACGTGCTCGTGTCCTGGCAAAGCGGCGCCCCCACCCACCTCCAAGACGAGGTTAATTCTGGAAGATGCTCGGGCTTCCTCTCTCCCCCAAGACGAACGCCATTATCGCCTTGCTTTGAGAACCTGGCGGTGCAACCCTGCTATGAGGCGAGAGAGGAAACAATGGATGATGGTGGATAGGTTAGTTCCCGCGGACATGGGAAGTTTGGTTTAGTAAGGTTTGGGTTGGGATTTTTGCCTAGCAGAGTGCGATTCCTCAAGCCAATCTTGTCCAAATTCCTGCTGCGGGCGGAATTTGGTGACAACCTCGACAATTCAGATTCGGTTCCCCTGGTATTGCTGCCGGAAAACGAGGCCAACCGTACAGAGCCGGAGGACTCAAATGCCAAGTCTGCGTGCGGTCAACAACTCGGCGGAGATCACATTTGCAGAGATCGAGTTGGGGGCGCCGGCGTGCGGATGCATCTCTGACCCGGTCAGCGCAGTCTACTGACAGAGTGAACCGGGAGGCCCCCAGTTGGAAAAAAGATCTGAATTTCCCTAATAGAAATTGTACTTTTTTGCATTTCAGCTGTAGAAATTTCCATCAGCCAATGGATTGCTCCATGAGAGGAAAGCAGCAAAACATATTGTTGCATGAGTTCGTAAAAATGATAAGTAGATTCACCGTCAGAATGGCTGCCTTTGCACTGTCAGAACTTGTTGAAACTATGTACTGAATATATAGTTGTACTGAATATGTACCATTTGTGTAAAAAAACAGATTACAATGTGCCCCACATGGTTGCCCTGGTGCTCATGTTGCGCTATGGGAAAACCAATCAACTGCGCGTTTGGAGAATTCGCTTCTGAGCCAAAAAGTCAGCTGCACATCTAAGTGGGGAGATGTGATCGGAAACGAACTGCATGCGGGGGAATAATACAGGTTTACTTACCGAACACATTTGTATAAGCGATGCCCGGCCCTGTTCCCCGTCCTTGCGACATTGGTCTCCAGCTCCGCTCCGCAAAAAGGACAATCAATGAGAGAAAGAAGAAAGTCTTCCGAAACAAGGAGAGATGAGGAAGACGCATCGGACATGGCGGACGGAGTGAAAGGGGGTTAGGAGATAGGCGATGGGGATTTTTGTTTTTTGATGCGGCTGGATGTGCAGGACAAGAGGATGGAGGTGCATTTAAGGCGACCTCATCTGCTCGCCGTTTGGGAGGCCGGTGGCGTCCACGGCTCAGGCTGGCTCAGAGACAATGCTGAGCCATTGCGCTGCGGTCTGTTCCGCCTGTCCAAGGCCATGCGCCGTCGCGATCATTGCGGGCCAGCGGCAGATTATAGAAAAAGAAATACTGTAATGGAATACAATGGATGGCACAAATCCAGATGCGAGGGAGAGGCGTGGATTTCGTGCTCATCTGAGCACGGGCTCAGAAGCGAATTTTTGTTATTTTAGTCATTTTAATATGATGTATGTGTTCCTGTCTTGCAGTCCAATATATGGCGAATAGAAAATTTCAGCTGTACCTGATGTCTGTAATAATGAACTAATAACAAAATGGACTATTGAGATTTTTAATGCTTTGGGAACTTAAGTAGAATCTGGTTTCTATTGCTTTAAGCTCATATATCTTTTTTTTTAGTTGAGATTTTACATAATGAAACAGCTAAACGAAGAGAGGCTATAGACATGTCCACACACACACATATGTGATTTCAACACCAACGTTATATTCAACATCTGGATATCATTTACGAACTGAAAAAGGGAGTCAGTTTATCTTTGCATCACCGCCATTTTAATTGTTGTCTATGTTATTCTCATATGTAAATCCCTATAGCTAAATGGGCAGCAGTTTGTGAGTGCACACTATCCAGGCTGGCAGCCAAATATTTTCCATATATAAAAAATTCAAACAGTCAATTTCACAAGCTATATGCAGAAGATATCCTTGCCTCTTAAACCATTTCGGCACATTTGCACATAAACAAGTTAATCATCCTATGAGTCATGCAACATTTTGGCTCCATTAGATCCACACTTAATGCATGGTTGTGCCTATAAAGCATAAGAAGTCAGGCAATTAACACCCGTTCTGAGGAGAAGACAAATGGACAAGACAAATGAACAATGAGTCAATTACACATATATCATATATCAATTGACTTGAGAAAAATAAATCACTCCTCATAGATGTTTTGTAACTAACCTTTTATAACCGGAAAAAGCCAGAACTAGTGTCCCTATCAGGGTTTTAAGCTAAAAAGACGACCTGCAATTGGACCGGAAAAAACATGTAAACATGCTAGTTTTTGCATGAACCGGAGGCATAAAACCGGCGGTTGAACCAGTGCCACACAAAAATAGTAGAAAATAACCCGCGTCAAAAGGAATTCAAACCTTTGACCCAAAACCATCTTGGCTGGCCAATTTTCTTTTCAACTTTATTTAAATGATTGTATTTTACATCTATTTAGTATGGCACTAGTACACGAAATGTATTATTTATGGTATAAAAAAACTAGACATCGAACCGGTGAACCAGCGGTCTGACCGGTAAAAATTTGAACCGGCAGCCTCGATGGTTTGATTTTTTAAACTATGATGGAGACTGGAGTGTTTTTTTCAGCTTCGTTTTTGTTGTTTTTTGTTTGTCGAGAATTGCTTCGTTTCTGTTCGTTTTTTTTATAGCAAATGCTCGTTTCTATTCGGTTTTTTTTTCTGAGACATGCGCGTTTCTT